TCTGTCAGTGTCTTGTAGGGTTGTGTATGATCTGTCAGTGTCTTGTAGGGTTGTGTATGTTCTGTCAGTGTCTGTAGTGTTGTGTATGATCTGTCAGTGTCTTGTAGTGTTGTGTATGATCTGTCAGTGTCTTGTAGGGTTGTGTATGTTCTGTCAGTGTCTGTAGTGTTGTGTATGTTCTGTCAGTGTCTTGTAGGGTTGTGTATGTTCTGTCAGTGTCTTGTAGGGTTGTGTATGATCTGTCAGTGTCTTGTAGGGTTGTGTATGATCTGTCAGTGTCTTGTAGTGTTGTGTATGATCTGTCAGTGTCTTGTAGGGTTGTGTATGATCTGTCAGTGTCTGTAGTGTTGTGTATGATCTGTCAGTGTCTTGTAGTGTTGTGTATGATCTGTCAGTGTCTTGTAGGGTTGTGTATGATCTGTCAGTGTCTGTAGTGTTGTGTATGATCTGTCAGTGTCTGTAGTGTTGTGTATGATCTGTCAGTGTCTTGTAGTGTTGTGTATGATCTGTCAGTGTCTTGTAGGGTTGTGTATGTTCTGTCAGTGTCTGTAGTGTTGTGTATGTTCTGTCAGTGTCTTGTAGGGTTGTGTATGTTCTGTCAGTGTCTTGTAGGGTTGTGTATGATCTGTCAGTGTCTTGTAGGGTTGTGTATGATCTGTCAGTGTCTTGTAGTGTTGTGTATGTTCTGTCAGTGTCTTGTAGTGTTGTGTATGATCTGTCAATGTCTTGTAGGGTTGTGTATGATCTGTCAGTGTCTTGTAGTGTTGTGTATGTTCTGTCAGTGTCTTGTAGGGTTGTGTATGTTCTGTCAGTGTCTTGTAGTGTTGTGTATGATCTGTCAGTGTCTTGTAGGGTTGTGTATGATCTGTCAGTGTCTTGTAGGGTTGTGTATGTTCTGTCAGTGTCTTGTAGTGTTGTGTATGATCTGTCAGTGTCTTGTAGTGTTGTGTATGATCTGTCAGTGTCTTGTAGGGTTGTGTATGTTCTGTCAGTGTCTTGTAGGGTTGTGTATGATCTGTCAGTGTCTTGTAGGGTTGTGTATGTTCTGTCAGTGTCTTGTAGGGTTGTGTATGTTCTGTCAGTGTCTGTAGTGTTGTGTATGAACTGTCAGTGTCTTGTAGTGTTGTGTATGATCTGTCAGTGTCTTGTAGGGTTGTGTATGATCTGTCAGTGTCTTGTAGGGTTGTGTATGTTCTGTCAGTGTCTTGTAGGTTGTGTATGTTCTGTCAGTGTCTGTAGTGTTGTGTATGATCTGTCAGTGTCTTGTAGGGTTGTGTATGATCTGTCAGTGTCTTGTAGGGTTGTGTATGTTCTGTCAGTGTCTTGTAGGGTTGTGTATGATCTGTCAGTGTCTTGTAGTGTTGTGTATGATCTGTCAGTGTCTTGTAGTGTTGTGTATGATCTGTCAGTGTCTTGTAGGGTTGTGTATGTTCTGTCAGTGTCTTCTAGTGTTGTGTATGATCTGTCAGTGTCTTGTAGTGTTGTGTATGATCTGTCAGTGTCTTGTAGTGTTGTGTATGATCTGTCAGTGTCTTGTAGTGTTGTGTATGATCTGTCAGTGTCTTGTAGTGTTGTGTATGATCTGTCAGTGTCTTGTAGGGTTGTGTATGCTTTGTCAGTGTTTCCTGGTATGGTCTGGGCTTCAGTATACTGTGCAAGGTTTCACTACTCTCCACGTGAACGTTCTTGGTAATACTTTACAGACTATGATTCGTTATAAATTAAGTAGCAAGAGTATTTCAAGGTTATGTAATGGGTTTTAATGGGGTGTGTCCACCCTCTAGTGCCAGGAGATGGCACCATGAGGATGTTAATTGGCACTGATATGTCATAAGTGAAGCCATTACACGCCCTTGAAGTCACAATAGAATTCTATGTGGCACTGATAGTAGCAGTGCCAGGTTGTAGAGGGCCAGAGTGCTGGTTATAGAGACTGATGTAGAAGGTTACAGTTTTAGGGCCGTGTGAGGGTGTAGAGTGCCACAGTGTGGGGGTGTGGGAGAGGTGGGCTTGAGGGGTATGCCATTGGCACTGGTGGGCATGCCATTGGCACCGGTGGGGAAGAGCCAGTGTACGGCACGGCGTTCTTCGCTCTGCACGTTCGCTCCTCCTCCCTGCTCTAGGTACGCCCACACGCCCACAGGACGTTGACATACACCCCCCGCCCACCCTCCCGTGTGACTCTAAATGTGTGTTGTGTTTTGATACGAGGATAAATAAGAAAATATATAAGGTGTCAGAATTCAGGCGTCTTACAGAGGAAATTAGTTTGGAAAATTAAAATAGAGCATATAAGTGTTGTAATATATTGGATCACAGAAGCCATGTTGTGTTGCAAGATGCAAGCTTCAGGAGACCATGCAAGCCAGGTTGTGTTGGATGATGCAAGCTTCAGGAGACCATGCAAGCCATGTTGTGTTGGATGATGCAAGCTTCAGGAGACCATGCAAGCCATGTTGTGTTGGATGATGCAAGCTTCAGGAGACCATGCAAGCCATGTTGTCTTGCAAGATACAAGCTTCAGGAGACCATGCAAGCCATGTTGTGTTGCAAGATGCAAGCTTCAGGAGACCATGCAAGCCATGTTGTGTTGCAAGATGCAAGCTTCAGGAGACCATGCAAGCCATGTTGTTGCAAGATGCAAGCTTCAGAGACCATGCA